ATCTAACAACCCAACCTAACACAACCCAACCTACCCTAACAACCCAACACAACAACACTAACCTAACACAACCCAACCCAACACAACCCAACCTAACACAACCTAACCCAACACAACCCAACACAACCCAACCTAACACAACCTAACCTAACACAACCCAACCCAACACAACCCAACCTAACACAACCCAAACAAAACCCAACCTAACACAACCCAACCCACCCTAACACCAACCCAACACAACCTAATCTAACACAACCCAACCTACCAACACAACCTACCCTAACACTAACCTAACACAACCCAACACAACACTAACCCAACACAACCCAACCTAACACAACCTAACCCAACACAACCCAACCTAACCTAACACAACCTAACCCACCCTAACACCACCAACCCAACACAACCTAACCTAACCTAACACAACCTAACCTACCCCAACACCAACCTAACACACAACCCAACCTACCCCAACACCAACCCAACACAACCTAACCTACCCTAAACCAAACCTAACACAACTCCTAACACAACCCAACCTAACCTAACACAACCTAACCCCACCCTAACACCAACCTAACACAACCTAACCTACCCTAACCAAACCTAACACAACCTAACACTAACGTAACCAAACCTAACACTAACGTAACCAATTACAGCTAAAGACTAACTCAGGAATCCCTAAACATTACTTATATTTTATTACGTAATAAGAAAACACCTCACATGCATAAATAGCTACGGTAAGTCATAAACGTACATGAACGTATAGTGTGTTGTAACCGTACATGAACGTATAGTGTGTTGTAACCGTACATGAACGTATAGTGTGTTGTAACCGTACATGAACGTATAGTGTAAGCTAAACCAAATGAACGTATTGTTACCACGATGAACGTATACAGTGCTTAAACCACATGAATTATAAAAAAAATTGTATGAACGTATATTAAAACAATTGTACTACGACATGAACGTATATACCACACAATCACAACAATTATACCAACAACAATTATACCACAACAATTATACCACAACAATTATACCACAACAATTATACCACGACAATTATACCACACACGCTTGAATAAATACCAATCATACTAAGGATAATTTGTCATCTGTCATACAAGGTCTAATTACTAGCAACCATCACTAGATATATCACAATTATAGTTCGGATACAACTAAATTTTTAAGTATTTAAAGTAGCCTAATTACTATTAATGTAATGTGACGTGGCCTAATTAGTACGAAATATAATCCTAGGTGGTCTAATTAGCGTTTACACGATGCTAGGTGGACTAATTAGCGTTTATACGATGCTAGGTGGACTAATTAGTGTTTATACGGTGCTAGGTGGACTAATTAGTGTTTACACGATGCTAGGTGGACTAATTAGTGTTTACACGATGCTAGGTGGACTAATTAGTGTTTATACGATGCTAGGTGGAATAATTAGTGTTTACACGATGCTAGGTGGACTAATTAGTGTTTATACGATGCTAGGTGGACTAATTAGTGTTTACACAATGCTAGGTGGACTAATTAGTGTTTATACGATGCTAGGTGGACTAATTAGTGTTTACACAATGCTAGGTGGACTAATTAGTGTTTACACAATGCTAGGTGGACTAATTAGTGTTTATACGATGCTAGGTGGACTAATTAGTGTTTACACAATGCTAGGTGGACTAATTAGTGTTTATACGATGCTAGGTGGACTAATTAGTGTTTACACGATGCTAGGTGGACTAATTAGTGTTTACACGATGCTAGGTGGACTAATTAGTGTTTATACGATGCTAGGTGGACTAATTAGTGTTTATACGGTGCTAGGTGGACTTAATTAGTGATGCTAGGTGACCTAATTAGTGTTTATACGACCCTAATCAGAACGTGGAGACAAGTTTTAATAAATGTACAGGTGTTTCCGGTGTGTACACAGGCACGTACCACCACTGCCTCACAAACAATTACTGAAGAATTCCCTGAACTTTAACCCTGGTTTATTTCACCTTGAGATTAACCTAACGCTATTTAATTAATATATATGTCCAAACACTGAAAAAATATCCCGAATAGAAGACAATATAAAGAAACCAAAATTATAGCGGCAATAATGTGTTGTTTAAATTCCCTAATAGAAGTCAATATTTTAATAATAGCAGCCAAAATAATAATGTGTTGTTGGAATAGTAGACGTATTAAATAGTAATCAAGAATCACCTTATATAGAGGACAGTACAACATTAAAAAGAGATAGTAAAAATAGGTAACTAGGAGCCAATATGGGGGGGGGGGGGACATGCCTAACCAAGCGACCTAACCTAACCAATCCTAACTTAAAAAACTAACTTTAATTAAACCATATAACCTAACCTATACAACGAAACCTCTATTTAACGTTATATGTAGAGAAGACTGTTCGTTATAAAAAGATTTCAATATACTGTCTCTCTCTCTCTCTCTCTCTCTCGCTATATCTACCTTTCTTTCTCTCTCTTTCTTTCTCTCTCTTTCCTTCTCTTTCTCTCTGTTATGACACAAAATCGTACCGTAATTAACAGATGGAAGAGGATTAAGTTACAACAGTTGATGGGCGAAGGAAATGATGCAGTTTGGAGAGACAAATCACCCAAGTTCTAATGACCTTACAAACACACGTACTACATTACTATATTTAACGATTGAATTACACCTTAGACACTCACCTGAACTAAATAGAACATGATGGCAGTTAAATATATCAATAGTTATGGGTCCAGGTCTTCCAACACAAGACTACCACCACTAACACCACCAATTTTCCCGCGAAAAAAGGTAAAAAAAAATTCTACTTTACATAAAAATTCAAATAAAAACGTGAAATTTTATACAATTCCACCGGAAGCAATATAGTTTTAAATAATTTTGTAAAATATTTTTGCTCGATTTCCACCTTTCTTAACTACACAGGCTTTTATTTCCTACACAAATAGTCGAATAATCTATAGAATTCCGAGATAGTGATTAAACAAGCCTTGTGTTCTTTTACCATCAACTACCATATCTTTAACTAATATATATATATATATATATATATATATATATATATATATATATATATATATATATATATATATATATATATATATATTACGATTTATAAATTTATGTGGTTTAACTTACCCATTAAGCATTAGTGTCCATAGCAGCCTTGTCGTATACAGCATCTCTTGGTCGACACAGGGAGGCCAATACCTACCTTTCTCTTATTCTCCATTTATTTAACAGTACTGTGGTCTTTATTACATCTTTTTTTTATTCCTTCAGTTAGTGTTTTGATTATGTGCATAAGTTAAGTCATATTATTTTTTTTGCACTCATTATAATCATCGTTTTATGGTCATTATGTGGATATTTCATTATAAATTTAAATATTCAAGAATTTGTAATGTGCAGTAAATGGTAGAATGTTGGTGACTTTTGTGTGTACGGTAGTGTATGTGTAGATAATCATGTGGTGACAGAGCCTCAAGAAATTTAACATTGTGGGGATGTGTCTGGACTGTGTTGATGACATGTGCTGCCTGGGTGACATGATCAGTGTTGAGGGAGGGGGGTGGGAAGAGTGTTTAAAAAAAATTAAAAAAATATATATATACAGGTATATATATATTATATTAATCTACACCGCGAAGATGACAGAAAACAGATTGTGTGAGTCAAGAAACACAGGCAGAGCATTGTACAGTTTGGCTGTGTGAGGAAAGGAGGATGTACTATAATGGGTTATAGAGAGAGTGAAGCAACATTGTGAAGAGAAGATAGATTATCAACTAAAGGAGGAGAGTTAATAAGCCTTTGATTCCACCCTATCTAACAGTTGAAGAGCTGCCCCATATATGAGAGCAGTACTCCGAGTTAGGACCAATGAATCCCTTATATACCTGAAGCAACTGCTCAGGAGTGAAGTAGCTACGGCATCTGTACAGCATTCCCAGCTTTCGGGAGGCAGCTTTAGCAATGTTGTGAATGTGTGGCTTCCATGACATATTAAAGGAAATGATGAGGCCTAGCATATCTATTTTAGAAATTGGCAGAATGATTGCGTCCTGAAATGTGATTGGTGGGAGATCATCTAATTTGGAAAGTGTAATTGGTAAATACTGAGTTTTATTACTATTGAACTTAACCAAGTTTGTATCTCCCCATTCAGAGATGCTGCACAGATCCGTGTTGATAGAAGTAATGATATCAGTTCTAGAAACAGATCTAGTTTGAGAGTTAGGAGGAAGGGGAAAATGTGAGGAAGAGTGAAGAGTAGAATCATCGGCGTAAGAATGGATAGAATTAGTTGTAGTGTGAAGTAAATCATTGATAAAAAGAAGGAAGAGAGTTGGTGAAAGAACAGAACTCTGTGGGACACTACTATTGGTAGAGAAAGAGCGAGAGATCGATCCCTCGACAACAACTGCTATGGATCGGTTCTCAAGGAAGCTAGAGATGAGAAAACAAAGTTGGGGAGAGAAACCAAAAGAGGGAGGTTTAGATAGCAAAGACTTGTGCCATACCCTGTCAAATGATTTGTAGATGTCGAGGGTCATGACAAAAGTTTCCCCATAATCACGAAGAGAGGATGACCAAAGATGGGTGCAGTAGGAGAGCAGATCACCAGTAGACCTGTCCTGGCAAAAGCCATACTGGTGATCCAATTAGTAATGAAAGTGGAGTTGGTAATAGGAGGAGATAGTTTCATAGCTTGATATGGCCTCTCTCTCTCACCCTGCATGCAAGAGAACAGGAGCGATCAAACCATGATTATAAAATGGTCTAAGATGTGATAAATGGCTGGAGGAAATTCCTGCATTTATTGACAGTAATACAGTACACTTCCATAAGTACAGTAATATGATTTCCCTGTTATTCCTTCAAGCAATTAATGTCTTTATACAATGACAGTGTAAAGGAATACTCTACAGTATATATATAATAAAACTAACAAATAAATAAAATTATTTATGTACAACATTGGCATCAAAACTTGACTTTAACAATTTACATCACGAAAGCCCCAAACATCCTCTTAGAGTAAATCATCAATAACTATCAATAACTACAGTTTCTTACCAACAGTAACAATTTAAAAGACCCATAATTTAAATTACCTGGATTCCTTTTTTTTTACATATACCAACAAAAGATATGAATCGTTAGAGACTAATTACCGACAGTTTGATCAATCTACACGGGGGCGTCTCAAGCCAGTGAGTCCTTCATGCCAGAGCCGACCGGTCCGTGGCGACGCTCCCATATCATCCGGTGTTTCTGTTTCATGTACGCGTCGACCACGGTCCCGTACACACCTAAGTCACCGTCTGGAGGGGGGGTAGAGATAACTTATTATTATATATAGATGAAAATTTATACAGAAGTTAACAGTAAGATTATTGTAGATTAAGACCAATGCTAAACCTTAACTACATTACTGTACTGTATACTGTACTGCACTATACTGAACTGTCCTATACTGTACTGTATTACCCATTACAGTATAGTCCATTAGAGTACAGTACAGTCCATTACAGCACAGTACAGTACACTCCTTAAAGTACTCAACACACCCTAATAATGTACAATATCCTTACATTTGATGAACCAATTCTCAGCAGCCTTGTCATACACCTCCATTAACCCAGCACACTTCTCCTTGTGGTCTGTCGCCTCGTACAGTATGCAGTCCTCTTGTCGTTGGCGCAGGATGTTCAGCACTTCATTGTCAACCATCCTGAAATATAAGTAAGTGAATAAGTAAGTAAGTAAATAAATAAGTAACCCTTGTCTACAATCCTAAAATAAATAAGTAAATAAATAAATAGATAAATAAGGTTAGGTTAAGTTTATCTTGTTTGTGACCAATATTTCAATATAATTCTGTATTTTTTGTTATTCTAATGGCTATTTTAAGACGCACATACACACATATATACACGCACACACACACAGAGGCCTGCTGTTACCCGTTTCATACATTATAATACGTACAGTACATGACACATACACACGCCTCACCTGTCCCTCTTGAACTGCTCGTTAGCCTCGATGAAACAAACTACGTCGTCGGTGTAACATTCGTCTATGGTGGGAACGCGGCGGAACTGGCGGTGATACCATGGGTACTGAGGCCGGTTCTTGGTGACGACGGACTCTGTTGGTGGTGATAGAGAGAGTAGTCAAAACTGTGAGATAGTTTAACATGTTGAGGAAATTATCGTGGTTAGGTTAGGTTAGGGAGGGCATTTTGGTTTGGTTAGGGTTGGTTAGGGTTAGGTTAGGTTAGGTTAGGGAGGGCATTTTGGTTTGGTTAGGGTTGGTTAGTGTTAGGGTTAGGTTAGGGAGGGCATTTTGGTTTGGTTAGGTTGGTTAGGAGGCATTTGGTTTTAGGGGTTTAGTGTTAGGTTAGGGAGGGCATTTTGGTTTGGTTAGGGTTGGTTAGTGTTAGGTTAGGGTTAGGTTAGGTTAGGGAGGGCATTTTGGTTTGGTTAGGGTTGGTTAGTGTTAGGGTTAGGTTAGGGAGGGCATTTTGGTTTGGTTAGGGTTGGTTAGTGTTAGGTTAGTGTTAGGTTAGGGAGGGCATTTTGGTTTGGTTAAGGTTGGTTAGTGTTAGTTTCGTTTGCTTTGATAGCCCAATGGCCTGAAAAATGGTAAATTAAAGATAAATCAGCTGAAAAATAGTAAATTGACGATAAATAAGCTAAAAAATAGTAAATTAACAAGGTAATGGGGGGGGGGAGTTGGACCACCGGTTAATGTATATAACAAATGGTTCTTCAGTATAATTAAAAAATATTTCTTAACAGCTGTAGTGATGATACAGACCCCTAAACCACGTGACGGGAGCATCTAGGGTATTGCTGACAGCTTGGATGAAGGAAATAAAGGTATTGTGTGAGTCATCTCCTCCACCTCCCATCTTGGTCAACACAGCTGGGACTAACACTGTTACCAACTCTCACCCTAAACCACAATATTTCTTGTTTTTACTTCATATATTGGGGGGGAATTATGGTATTATGTTATGAATTATGGAGTTTTTTATATATATTTTTTCATTATAGTAGTTGAGATTGATAGGATCTTTCTTTAATCTATTGTTGTAACTATATGTTTGTCAATGTTTTTAATTTTTATATATTCATTAATTACCTATTAAATTAACTATATATCGTTAAAAACTCTTAATTACCTGAATATAGTGATTATATTTCTGTATTTATCCCTGAAATCAAAGTTATCAAGAGAATTATAACCTACACATCATATATACAGTATACTATTGGTTGGGAAGAGTTGGTAACACTTGTGACCACCAGCGCCATCTCTCAACAAATTATCATTAAATTGTATTAAAATATTTGGTCAAAAGGTTAAAAAATGACCATAAATTTGATATAATTATTGAATAGCACTTAATTACTTTATCTGATAATTATTTAAGTGTAGTAGATAATTGCGACTACTTTTACTTTTACTTTATTTATTTCCTCGTCACCTCTGATAGGCTCGTTATCCGCTAGGGCGATCAGTGCTGGCGTTCATCTCTACTGGCGTTCATCTCGACTGGCGTTCATCTCTACTGGCGTTCATCTCTACTGGCGTTCATCTCTACTGGCGTTCATCTCTACTGGCGTTCATCTCTACTGCGTTCATCTCTACTGGCGTTCATCCTCAAGCTGGTCACGTCTCTGTCACACAAGTACTGGGCACAAGAACATAAGGAGTCTGCAATAGGCTGGTTGGTCTGTGCATGGCAGCTCCTGTCGAGAGTTACTACCACTCTATCATCCATGAATCTATCCAGCCTCCTTTTAAAGCTTTCCAGCGTTCCAGCACTTACTACACAGTTGCTAAGCTTGTTCCACTCGTCTAACAATCTATCCAGCCTCCTTTTAAAGCTTTCCAGCGTTCCAGCACTTACTACACAGTTGCTAAGCTTGTTCCACTCGTCTAACAATCTATCCAGCCTCCTTTTAAAGCTTTCCAGTGTTCCCGCACTTACTACACAGTTGCTAAGCTTGTTCCACTCGTCCACCAATCTATCCAGCCTCCTTTTAAAGCTTTCCAGCGTTCCTCGCACTACTACACAGTTGCTAAGCTTGTTCCACTCGTCTAACAATCTATCCAGCCTCCTTTTAAAGCTTTCCAGTGTTCCCGCACTTACTACACAGTTGCTAAGCTTGTTCCACTCGTCCACCACCCTATTTTAGAACCAGTTTCTTCCTATCTCCTCCTAAACCTAAACTTATCCAACTTAAACTGTTGTTCGAGTCCTATCCTGCTCGGATATTATAAGAACTTTATCTATATCCCCTTCATTGATTCCTTTCACCCACTTAAATACTTCTATCATATCTCCCCGCACCTCCCCGCACCTCCCCGCACTCTTCGTCTTTCTAGGGAATGGTTGTTTCAACCTATCCTGGACCTCCGGAACTTTCGTCCAGAACATGGCCACATGGCCTTCCACCAACATATGGCCACGTGCTTAACATATGGCCCTTCACGCTAACATATGGCCTTCCACGCTAACATATGGCTCTACATGCTAACATATGGCCTTCCACGTGCTAACATATGGCTTCACGTGCTTAACACGGCCTTCACATATGGCCTTCCACATATGGCCTTCCACGTGCCACATATACCTCCACGCCTTCCACGTGCTAACATATGGCCTTCCACGTGCTTACATATGGCTGCTACATATGGCCTTCCCACGCTATACATATGGCCTTCCACGTGCTTACATATGGCCTTCCACGGTACGCATATGGCCTTCCACGTGCCTTACATATGGCCTTCCACGTGCTTACATATGGCCTTCCACGTGCTACATATGGCCTCCTCCACGTACTTACATATGGCCTCCACGTGCTTACATATGGCCTTCCACGCACTTACATATGGCCTTCCACGTGCATATATTCTTCCACGCCTTCCCACGCTTACATATGGCCTCCACGTGCTACACATATGGCCTTCCACGCTTACATATGGCCTTCCACGTACTTACATATGGCCTTCCACGCTTCACATATGGCTTCCACTGCACCTTCACGTGCTTAAATGTTAATTTAGCCAGAAATTATGAATAATAACAATAATATTAATAATATTAATAATAATAATAATAATAATAATAATAATAATAATAATAATTTCTTTAGGACGTATTGTCTAATGCCGTGTGGTGCTGGTGTGCCACGTGTTCTGTTGTGGAAAGGTATGTGGGGGTAATAATACCAAATGGGAATGGGTAGTTAAAGGGTTTAGCTTAATTACCTCGATTGATGGTATTTGATAAATAAGTAATACCATCTTTAAAATAATAGTCTTGAATGAATAATTGAAGAGGAAACATATACAAGTCGTTGCAAGGGTTTTACTTTCTATATTATTTTGAAATGATGTTAGTAATGAATAAAGTAATAACGAGATTCTAATTATTAAAAAAGTCTAATTAATTATTTTCTTCAGGTTAAATACAATTAATTATCTAAATAAAATTAAAACAAATTAAAAACCCAATTAATTTCAATTTTAGCGGGAAAACGTGGCACCACTGTGCGTGGCGGCCACCATATATATAGTGACGCAGCGGCCATCTTGTTCTTTCCAGCAGCGTGAGACGAGATGGTGAGTCGCACTTTTGTGTCTTGTTACTTATTATAGCTTATTTTCAACCCCAAGACGGGAATATTGTCGTAATAAGTAGTTACTATGTTATAGCTTACATTAACAGTGGTAATTAACCTTGTGAATGGTGATTTAGCTGTAGGATGTGTGGATTATTGTTGACTGGCCAGACGCACGGGTTATGGCCACGAGGTGAACAGACCAACCCATGAACCACCAGATGGCCATAGCTGGTAGAGTGATGGCCATAGCTGAGAGTAATGGCCTTAGCTAATATAGTAATGGCCATAGCTGATAGAGTGATGGCCATAGCTGATATAGTAATAGCCATAGGGTGGTTGTATGATTGCGGTACATCGCTATTTGTCCGGCATTTTTTCCTAATTGAGGGATATTAGTAGACAACCGCGGATGTTAACACTGGACTGCTCATTTCTCAACCAAAACTAAATGTAACTTAACCTAACCAAGATGGTGTTAGAAAGTTATGGTAAATTTCATTCAAGTGGACAACCGTTGATTTTAACATTATATTTAAACATTGATCAGAGGAGAATGACAAGACTAATCATTAACTCTAATACGCTGGATAGCTTCAAACACAGGTTGGGTGGATATATGAGCAATAGGGGTTGGGTGTAAAGGGGACTGTCCAGTATGGCCCGCTGCAGTGTCCTCCATTCTTATGTTCTTATGTTAACCAAAGCACCTAATCTAATCTAACCTAAACTAAGAAATTTAACCTAACACCGTAACCCAAACATTAATTGGTTGTCTATTTGTAAAAAGGAAAAAAATATCAGGCATTATTTATTCATTGCAAAACCTTGAATTACTGTACAAGGTTAGATAGCTATACCAGGTTAGATAGCTATACCAGGTTAGATAGCTGTCCAAAGTTATAATTAAGCTTCACACCTGATGACTTGTGGTAGCTGGCTCACGCTGGCGATTCCACAGAGCAACTTTGGGAACTGTTTCATTCTGTACAGTCCTCCCGTGTTGTGCATCAGAGATCAACCTGGTGCCCCCGGTGTAACAGCTGGTTGAGCATTAGGGCGTGTATATTCCATAACTCCTCGAAGTTCCTAGTGAGCCTTGATCCTGGGGTTACAACCATACACGATACAAACCATTGATCACAGCCAGTTTAGGTGTCCAGTGCTCGTTAAACTGTACTATTGGTTGAATTGGGTTAAGTTCTGGGTGGATTTATAGTAGTGCATTGGTCTTTCTTTGGGTATTAAATTTGTTGGAAAAAAACTAGGAAATTGTTAAAAACCCGAACTTAACCTAACCCAAGCTAACCTAATCTATCACCCTGATTAGGTTAGCACTGTTCCTTCATATAAAAAATGCGTAAAAGTAACAATCATCTAAACTAACTAACCTGACCTAACCGGCCCCCATGATTTGGTTAGTTAGAATAGTGAACTACTGTAAAAGACCCTAAGTGTTTATTTTTCTCCCAGTCTCACCGTAAGTTCAGCGCGCCCCGTCATGGGTCTATGGGATTCTACCCCAAGAAGAGGTCAAAGCGTCATCGCCCCAAGGTAAAGGCTTTCCCCAAGGACGACAAGAACAAGCCCGTGCACCTTACGGCCTTCCTGGGATATAAGGCTGGCATGACCCACATTGTTCGTGTGGCAGACAAGCCGGGATCCAGTGAGTAATACTACTATGTTTTTTGTTTCTGCGGTTTTAATGTTGATTTTTGGAGGGGGGGGGGGGGCGAGGAGACGTTTATCATATATGGTAATTAATGCATAGATAAAGAATTGGATAGATTGTATGAGTAAGGAAACAGAAGGCAGAGTAATTTGATATAATGCTTTGAAATTAACTTGTGTGGATTAATTGTTATCCATATACGGTAAATATTGCATAGATAAAGAATTAACACTACTGTACTTGACACCTGGTCCAGCCTTGGCACCAGCTTGAGGAAATTTCTCTACACGATTAGACTTTATATCCTCGAGAAAATGAATCCTTCGAGGGCATTAGTTTTTTGGTATGGAAGCTGTTCGATGATGGCAAATCTGTACGATACTTAGTTGTCTTTAGTGTTGGAACGTCAGTTATTTTGCCAGAAACATTTTTAATGACGCTGAAAAATAGTAGTTTTTGGGGCCGAGTTCTCTTTTGTTAATTTATAGAATGTAGAAATTTGTAAAAGAAATTGGTTAATTTTATTTTTTATGATTGAAATTAATACTGTAAAAATTTAAGTCGGGTCAGGTTGGCAAGTTCGTGGATTATTATAGGAATTATCTGTTTAAAAGAAATCCTGTAAATTTAGTCAGGTTAGGTCAAATTTGTGAATTATTATAGAATTTGGTTTAAAAAAATCATCCTGTAAGGCACCAATGGGAAATTAAACTTGGGTGATATAAATTGTACAAAATCCGTTCCACCTCTGCAAATTTAGTGTCTGGGTAAAACGCTTTCTCCTCTATGAAGGGATTTCCTCAGAATGCTGTAAAGGCCAAACTTGTCATAACTACCCCCATAAATTCAGTAATAATTATATACCTGTACTATATTTTAGAAAGTAGATACCATTAAGAATTGTTGGTTATTTTTTACCTATTGTAGCCAATTATCTGTATGTTCTTGTAATATAAAATTATTCCTATTTCACACTAGTTAGTTTTGAAAGATTATGTAGTTATTGTAGTTTTCTTAGATAACTTTACATGTTGTAAACCTGATGACTTGTGGTAGCTGGTTCACGCTGGCGATTCCACAGAGCAACTTTGGGAACTGTTTCACTCTGTACAGTCCTCCCGTGTTGTGCATCAGAGATCAACCTGGTGCCCCCGGTGTAACAGCTGGTTGAGCATTAGGGCGTGTATATTCCATAACTCCTCGAAGTTCCTAGTGAGCCTTGATCCTGGAGTACAACCATACACGATACAAACCATTAAGCACTACGTGTCAGAGCGTTGGTTTTTTTTAGTTCGTGCTTGTAATAAAAACCGTGTCTTTCAGAAATCAACAGGAAGGAGGTGGTGGAAGGTGTGACCATCCTAGAAACGCCCCCTATGATCTGCGTCGGAGTTATCGGATATATCGAAACCCCGAGAGGCATGCGGGCCCTGAAGACTGTCTGGGCTGAGCATCTCTCTGAAGAATGCAAGAGGCGTTTCTACAAGAACTGGTAAATTAACTTCATCTTGTTATGCTGCAAAAACTTGAATGCCACTGGTTGAAAAATGTTATATTTTGGATTATATTTTAGTGCTTGATATGGTTACAAATGGTCCCAGTGCTCAAATTCTCACTCATAGCATTATATTTTAGTGCTTGTTCCTGTTATAAATGGTTCCAGTGCTCACAAACACTTCCACTAGCACTCCCATACTCCTCTGGCAACAGCATATGTTGGCCATGAGTCCGGGACACTGCTCCTGTAGATTCCAAGGGGTATTTCTCGGCTGATGAGCTATCTCGGCCACACTCCCGGATAGTTGCATCAGTTCGGAGTAGCCCCGCGGAATCCGTCCTACCGTGGAGTACTAGCTTCTGACGAGGGCAGTGCTCCATGCGTGTGTTCGGGTCTCTTCCTCCAAGACTGGTTCCTTGTGACAGAGGCCCTCACACTGTTATACCCTCAGGCACAAGTCCAAGAAGAAGGCTTTCACCAATGCCTCCCAGAAGTGGCAGGATCAGGTGGGGAAGAAGGTCATCGAGAAGGACCTGGCCAAGATCAAGAAGTACTGTAGCTCTGTTCGCATCATTGCACACACACAGGTTATTAATGCATTGTTGTTCATACACCGGTAATTAATACATCATTGTTCATACACTGGTAATTAATACATCATTGTTCATACACCTGTAATTAATACATTGTTCATACACCCGTAATTAATACGTCATTGTTCATACACCCGTAATTAATACGTCATTGTTCATACACAGGTAATTAATGTAATCATTGTCCATACTCAGGATAGGACTTCATTCATTATATAAATACATAGACAATAGTTAAACAAATGAAATAAATACTGATTACTGATAGCAAGTTATTTTTTCCTAGGTTGGGGGGATAGTTGTCTGGTTTGAGGTCGTTAGAGGGACTTTACAGTAGTTTAATGAAATAAATTATTGATTAATGATAGTAAGTTTTCCTAGGTGGGGATATACTTGTCTGCATTGAATGAGGTCGTTAGAAGGGGGTTTACAGTAGTTAGTTAAATGAATCAAATTACCGATGATAAACAATACTCCTTAACCATCGTTCTTAACCACCAGATCAAGATCCTGAAGAAAAGGCAAAAGAAAGCCCACATTATGGAAATCCAACTCAACGGCGGGACAGTGCCAGAGAAGGTGGACTGGGCAGTGTCCCACTTTGAGAAGCAGGTCCCCGTCTCTAACGTCTTTGCCCAGGACGAGATGGTGGATGTTATAGGGGTGACCAAGGGCAAAGGTGTAAAGGGTGAGTTGAACTGGGTTATTTTTTGATGTGGGGTGATGGTGATTTAAGGGTGATTATAGTTTGTGGTGATTTAGACGATAGTATTGTGGTTTAGTTAGATTCATTATATTGTGGTAATTCAGATGGACGATTATATTGTGGTGATATACAGTACATAGCCTTGATTTTCTTGAGTGACAGGTCGGTAGTTTAATTAATGTGTATTAGTGTTTTAACAAGACCTGGTATGGTCAGTACAGTACATTCTTAGTCAATATTTGGTGTGAATCAAAACTTGCCGACAAAACCAAATGTGAAGTCGTTTTTAATTCGGCTAATGGCTTCTTGACGAGTCTTTAATTGGGAGAATTTATGGAGACAAAAATCATGTCGCTGTTTTGCCCGAAGATTAAATATAACTCGTGAAGCATTACGAGAGGCCCTCCACCATAGAGCGTGCCAAAGGTTTCCCCCAGATTTCATCTCGACACGACTTTTGTCTTTCGTTGTACACCTTAGGAATATATTTTTACGGTATCTAATGATGATTAACACGTTCAGATTTACTGACGAAATTTATGTTGCCTTCCTTCTGAGGTCGACGATAAACAGATGTGTGAGTTTTACGAGGATTTGTTTTGATCTACGATTCTCTCATACAGGCGTGACCTCCCGTTGGCACACAAAGAAGCTGCCGCGCAAGACCCACAAAGGTCTTCGTAAGGTTGCCTGTATCGGAGCTTGGCATCCCAGCCGCGTGCAGTTCACCGTGGCTCGTGCTGGCCAGAAGGGCTACCACCACCGTACGGAGATGAACAAGAAGATCTACCGTATTGGCCAGGGTGTTCATACCAAGGATGGAAAGGTGGGTTGGTATAAAATGCTCGTGACTTGATCTATGTGGACTTAAATTCCCATCAGTAACAATTGGTAACCACTTTTACTGAACGCTTGGGATGATGTACATGTTAGTGCAGACAAACTATTATTGAAGTTAACTATGAAAGTTGAACGGTTACATTTTATCATTTATTATAAAGTTTTTTATTGTCCACCAGTCTTGATAGTGTTTTGAGTGCTAGTCTATTGTTTAAAGTACTGGCTATTTATTATTAACTTCTTACAGGTGGTGAAGAACAACGCGTCCACGGAGTACGACTTCACCGAGAAGACCATCACGCCTATGGGAGGCTTCCCTCACTATGGTGAAGTAAACCAGGACTTTGTGATGATCAAGGGCTGCTGTGCGGGACCCAAGAAACGAGTCATCTGTCTGAGAAAGGTCGGTGTCTTTTACTGGGGTACAATATTGATATTTGAACCACAATGATGATAACCCATAGAGCCTTATTTCAATGACGTTAAGTGAAATTAAATGATAGGACTGATAATTTATCACGGCTTTAAAATAATTTCCCCAAATAGATGTAGTATTAATCAGTGTATGGTTTACTTGCAGTCACTTGTAGTCCAGACTAAGCGCATTGCTCTGGAGAAGATCAGTCTACACTTCATTGACACCAGCAGTAAGATGGGTCACGGTCGCTTCCAGACAAGTGCAGAGAAGGCTGCCTTTATGGGCGTGCTTAAGAAAGACAAGAAGAAAAAGCTGAATCAATAAAATGTAGCTGGATGACGTACAGGTTTTTAATGATTCCTATGAGAGGTTTTAATAATGGCTACAGAGTATTGTACTTTATTATACTACACAACATTTTAATGATAGACACATTACCTGATTGTTTTTTTGTAAAGTGGTGATGCAGTGATACTTTTTAGCTGTGAATTGTTTTATCATGATTCTTCATTTAATTCTAACGTGTAAGATTTTTAACTATTACCAAGACTTGGTGAAGTGGTTTGAGGTACCACTTCACTAATGGTCTTGGTAATAGTTAAATGTTATGTTATACTGTAGTATTAAATTATAAATCGATCTTAAAAAAAACATTCATAACTGAAAATTATCCACTGGTGGAAAAATGTAAGTTAAAGATTCTGTAAAATCTTGTATGTGTGGAGTGATGTACAGAACAGGATTGTTCACAATATTACTTGCTATTGAGTTTGTGAAGTTACACATGTACAACTTTTTGCACTTAAGGAAGTTTGTTGGAAAATTAACAAGTTTACGCAGCTTTTATCAGTGAATGACTTTCAGTACTGTACACAGTAGCTCAACTAACTTGAAAATTGTCCATACAAGTCAAATTTAGTAGATTTTTGTAGGTTATCACAGTTAATTGTTCTGTTCCAGCTTGGAAGTAACTGTGGGTTAATACCCAAGTGGGATTTAGAGCTGCTGATGAAGCCAAAAATGTAACATCTCAGACCGACACAATATAATTCCTGCTCAAGATCTATCGAGAGATTCTATGAATACAGTACGGGGGGGGGGGGGGATGTTGACACCAACTTCCCAGTACTATACTGCACATGACCAGAAACAATACGAAGTTATGTATGACCCAAATGAACAACTGAGATGTGAACCTTTGTACAGTACAGTACTCTACATATTGGCTTTAAATGGCAGAGGTCAAAACAGATTGTTTAAATTTAATATAAAGGTTCAGTACAGTTATCTTTTATGTGCTGGTTAAGGAAATCTTAAAATTGGTATAATGTAATAGGTGTTAATTAACGGAGCCTTGAAGTAATTACATATTCAGAATATTTAAAACGTTTATTACAGACAGTTAAGCTTTGAATCATCTGTACAGGATATACTGTACAGTACAGTATATATATTTGAATGGAAAATAAAATTTCCATCTAAACATTAATTTTCATGCTTACAGAGAAAAGGATCATATTGTTTGAGTCCCGTTACAGTATGTGAGGTCAGAGTGTTGAGCGTGTTTAAACTTTATATACAAGGGTGAATAAACTTCTTTACAATGGGGTTAATGTCCTGGAAACTCCTCCACAGATCAAAATATCATAAATCAGGATCATTATAACATGGGGTCAATGGTGATAGGTTCCTGGCCAGTGACTCTCCCACAAGTATCACCTAACAAAAATTCGTACACCACTACAACACAATTCGACACTCCCACATCGTTAAAGGCCAGACTACCCCAGTCCTCGTGATGCAAACTTGGGTAAAGAGAACGTCCACACAGACAGCTCAACACCCAGACCAGTTAACTTGCACAAGAGACACAGTATGGATGCTTGGGTACAGGAGACTGTTTGGTGGCTTAATATTGTGTACAAAAGAAACAAATGCGATGTGTCAAGTTGCCACAGTCACAAAAAAATTACCTCGTGCCAGAGTTTGCCTGATCTGTGCGCACAGGCCTCGTAAAAAACAAACCAGTTCAACATGAGAATCGAGCCCGCATCGTGAGTCCCAGTGTGGACCTACCATGAGATAGTCTGGTCGTTACCTCATGTTCCCTTCAAGGCTAAAGGCACTGATAAGGTGGAAGGAAGACATTGATGACCCTCACACAGTCTCGAGGAAGACTAGAGAGAGATAGTGTGGGGACTGGAGGTCTAGGTTTAGTTTGGCCTTGATAATGTAGTAGTTCTTGGCTGGGACAGATGTGTCAGATGAAGAAAAAGATCCCCTGTGGCTGGTGACCAAGTCGAGGGTTGTTGCTATATCAGGGAAGCTTGTAGGTGATCATTATTGTCCACTATACCTCCTCCTCCTCCAGGTACTATAGAGCCATATATGAAAGCTAGTTTATCTCCATCATTGCCTTCACAGTACAGTATAGATAAGGGATATTTTCGGTTATGGCTACAGTACAGTACAGTATATAAAAAGATTACATAATATACTTGGCTACATTACCTTAAAATCTTTATTATTACCATATTCTCATAATAAATTCCTTCAACACATTAGGTGCTTTAATGAAGTATTGGAATGTATTCTCATTTTAATCCAATTCTGATTATTTTATATCCAAGAATAAAAATATATTTCCTGAACATATCTACTTCATTGCCAGAGAAATAAGTCGTAACTATTCAATTTAGTGGAATCCCTCCCCTACCTTCTGTGGAATCAGCTTGTACACTTAATCTCGTGACAAAGAATCATGACATGATTCCTGGATCAAATATCACGTTGCTGGCAGGATAAGTGGTCAGCGGACATGATATAAACAATAGGAAGTCCTGGGTGACCTTTGTACAGTATAGATCTAATAAAAGTTAAGGCGCAGATGTTGTATAAACTTTTTTATCTGTGGCATCAATTTACCTCTGAGATAAACTTTGTCAAATCAATTTAAGCTGATCATTATTATTTGGAGAGAAGCCTCAAGCTCATAGATGTTTGATTACTAAGCTTGAGTTTCCCTTACCAGTGCCAGTTTGAAAGTCTCACTTCCACCTGTGCTAGCTTGAAAAACACAGTCCTCCACCTATGCCAGCTTAAAATAGTCTCCCTCACACCCTATGCCAGCTTAACAACACAAACACTCCCAGTACAATACATCATAACTGGATCAAGCTGGTAACTTAAATAATATCAATAACACTATAATTCCTGGTAAATATATTTTATTTCATCTTCGTAAAAATATATAACACAAAACATTACTTTATTTACATTAATTAAGGATAAAGTTTGGCAAGAAATGGTGATAAGTTTTATAGTTTAAATTCCCCCAAACTTATTCATTGCTGCTCAAGTGCTCCTGAAAAATTGCTGTTAACAAGGCCATTCAAGAGGGTAATCCCCAGGGACTGATAGATACTGTATATATATATAAATAATTAAACAAACTACACAACATATCTTACCATAAATGATTCACCTAACAATAACTTACTACTAACAGTAATTGGTCATCCACAATTTTCACAGCCATTAGTTCTCTTAATGATGTACAGTGGTCCCTTGGTTAACGAGTTACCTTCTATAAGATTCTTAACTTCGGTTAACGAGCAATCCCTCGATTAACGAGTTTCTTACGAGCCGACCTCAACATGTTTTCGCTTGTATTTGGCGGTCCACCAGCTGTAGTATTAGTCCGCCAATACAGTAATCGGTTCTAGGGCTTAAATTCCTTACCATTTTAGTAAATATCAAGAAGTTTATACGATTCAATAATTTTAAAACTTTAATATTAAATTTTTTAGTAATTTTAAAAATTATTGAACATGCCATCCAGCCTGCCAACACACCATACAGGCGTCAGTCTTTGTGTCTTCTCAGTGGAGGTAACATCTTGCTTGAGACTCTTCAACTAAATGCTTTTTTTTCTGTGTTTCCAAGCAAATTATTGGTCATTTTGAAATATATTTTACATATTGACAATACCGTATATAATGCAGTGCAGTGTTGATTTAAAGAACATAATCTTGAATTACACCGAGAGAACTAAAATTTTATGGGTGAAATGGCACATGGGGTGACTTCTCTTCCACCCTAATGCCTTCTCTTCTCTCTTCTCCTCCACCCCCATTCTAATTCCCATCATCATCATCATTCAGGAGCCTTCTACATACACACCTCAAAGTAAGTGTACTTTTCTACCTTTTTTGTTGAATTTTGGCAATTTTCGGTGAGCTGGAACCAATTACCCAAAAACCATTGAAACAATGGTTTCGGTTAACGGGCAACCTTCTAGAACGGATTGTGCTCGTTAACCGAGGGACCACTGTATTAGATGATTATACAGCACAGTATATGTATACCCCAGGTGAACAAAGTATACAGTATTATTACACATACAACTAAATGATATAATTGGTCAAATTTAAGGTTAGACACGATATTGGCAAACGGTAACTTACATACAGTCGGGGTCAAAAGTCTTGAACAACACTTAACAATATCTGTCATCTACTTGTGAGTTATATGATTGGGATATACTAATAACACTACTGGTCATCACATATTATGTCTGAACCACAAACTGGGATAAAACCCTCCTTAATACCCAAGATCTTCGGGTACTTACATGGTAAATACTGTCAAGTGTTCGAGACGTTTGACCCCATCCTACAGAACAAGTACAGTACAGTAGGACAGAAATATCACCTCATGTAGGGCTGTACAGTACAGTATTACATTATATAATCTATATCCTTATGAAATATGACAAAACTGACTGAAGAAATATAAAAATAATATTAATTTCTTACACATTTTGTTCAGTACAATTAAATTTGTATATATATCCCAACAGGTGAACGGAGTAAAGAAAATTACTTGACGTACCTTGAACTTAATTAGAAATATGAACAAACAAATATAAAATTTTTAGACTCAAAATGCATTTATGAATCTTGCTGACAAGGCCACATACTGTACTGTACTGGCAACAAAAATTTTAGACATCCTTTTTTTCAATTATTTATGTCTACTGCTTTTGTATTTTGTAAAGGCATTCATTAACTATCAGAACATGAAAAACTTTTATCATCTAATTGGTTAAAGTTCAGCAAGTTTTGGCTTATGTTTACAGTACAGTAAATGTCTAGTTAATACTTAATGACAGTATATTTACTCCAGTGTATTAAATACAAGATCAGTAAAGCAATGATTATTCTTTCCTGTACAAAACTGTATTAAAAAAAGTTATATATTTCTCTTATATTCAGTGTGGCAGAAATAAACTTAGACAAAAAAATAAATTCTGGGTTATTTGTGTTTTTTTTACAATA